TGGAGAGGGCGGATGGGATGAAGGTGTTGTGGAGGGTTAGCCAGGAAGGGAGGTATCATTTGAGATGTAAATGAATGGAATGATAAGAAAAGAAAAGAAAAGAAAAGAAAAGAAAAGAAAAGAAAAGAAAAAAGAAAAGAAAAGTGCTATACAACACATTTCAAATCATATTGAGAAACTGGATCTAGTATAAAGCCAAGGAACAGTATTTATGTTTTAAATTTCTCACACATTGCAAACATTCATATGGTTTGCTACACAGAAGTAAAGACGGGAAATTATTCTTTAAAACTGGCTAGATGTTACATGGGATCATAGTATCAAGACGTTTTTGATAGTTAATATTCCTTATCAACTTGAGTACATTTTCAATCAGCTCAAAGACTCATGTCCGGATGTATGTAGTAGGTTGTTTGAAAAGAGCTTTGGCTAAGGAGTTAAGACAAATATGAAAATAATAACATCTCATGAAATAGGACCACACATTGAATAATAAGTCTACCATTGTAAATCAGAAAATAGTGTTCCTGAGCAGACACTTCATAAAGTTGATCATTTGCAACCCATTGAAATTCTTTTCAATAGCTCTACTTGTTTATTGAGTGGTTTCCTTTTTATTTTTTGAGGAATTAAAGAACTAATTATTACGTTCATTAGAAAACAAAAGATATGAAGAGAATCCCCCCAAAATTTATAAATAACATTGAATCAAAAAGGTTTATTAAAAATATCATTGAATGATCAATATTTCCTTTCTACCTAGCATATTAGACCAGCCAAACAGGCAGGATAATGATGCTGTTTCCCTGATAAGCATTTTGAAGGACATAATATAACTGGTAGTCAAGAGTTGCCTCCACTTTTATTTTTGACAAAGCACTAAAAGAAGAGTAATTCAAATTTAAAATTAATTTCATTTAAAATTTTCAATGTTAAAACACCCTTTATGTATAGAAATACAATTTATATATTAAGTAATACCACAATGGAATTATTTTATATAGTTTTAAACAAAATTTAGAGTTTTCAAGTTTCAAGTGAAAAAAAACCCTTCTGAGAACAAATTTTAAGATCCTTTTTAAATAGGTCAATTCAGTATATGTGACTCATGTGGAATTTCTTTTTCAATAATGGGCAGTAGAATGAAAAGAAAATCTCAGTTCTCAAAATCACTGGATAAAGAATAACCACTTTGGTTCCTGTTCAGACTTGAAAATGGTTTCTACTATTTTAAGGCACAAAAAGTTGAATTCACATATCTACTGCAGGAAATAAAATCCTACAAAAAGAAACTATAGTGAAATGGAGTTACAACTAGACAAAAACAGCCTCATATGTTCTTTTATAACTCATGTGTCCTTTTGCCTATATTTTATCCTTCCTTATGACTTAATGTCTTTATGAAGTAGGAAGAACATAAAATAACAGGAGGCATCACTTCACTAACAAAAGAAACGATGGACTTTCTTGTTCTACATAATCACTGTCACCAATTTTAATATCAATGTAAATTGGTTTTAAATTACCAGGTTACTAATTGAAATACCTTTCAAACTCATAGATTCAGAATTAGAACATGAAGCTGAATGGTGAGGAATATTATGCTCTATGAACAATAGTGATTAAAAATAAATCAAAAGGCTTCTATGCTATCCAAAGGAAAGTGGATTACTTCCCTCTAATCTGTAAGGATGGGTTATGACATACTATGTGCACACAGTCTTACTCTTTGTTAACAATCTCTTTCCTAAAATATAGAATCTCAAATCTGCTTTTGTAAAACTTTAAATCCTCTAATTTCTTTCCAGGATCCTGTGCTCTGGGATTCTAGTTCAGCTCAGCCAATAGAAATACAAGAGTTCATGAGACATGACCAACACATAATCTTTGTTTCTCTTCCAGTATTCCAGCTCACATTAGACAGACACCAAGATAATTTTAATCCCTGTTGGATGAGATCATGATGTTGTCACATGATTTATCTTTCTTGTTTCAAAATATATGAAGGTCAGCAGGATGTCTAAAACTGCTGTGGCTTCACTAAACTGTATGCAGCTTTAAATTTTTCCATCATTTATGAAACTACTTCATTCTGTTGAGTCTCCTAGAACAAATTTTTTTAATGAAACTCTTTAATGCAATAAACATCAGGAGTGATTACATGCAGAAACATTTTATTGTAGTTATCACAGGTTAGATTGGAGTCTTCTTGGAGTTGTATCACACAACATTGGTGTTTCTGGAAGCAAAACAGGAAGTTGGTGACAGGCAGCATAATGATATGTTGGCATTATTCTCTGTATTGCTTTTGATTTTCTTACAGGAAACAAAGATTCATGGTAAAGTTTGAATTATCATATTTTTTGGATATTCCACATCATTATGTTTAACTTTAAAAAAAGAATAATAAGCTTAATCTTTTGACATTTTATCATCAGTAAATCAAAGGAGGAGAGAATTTATATTGTGGTCTAAAATAATTTAATAAATTTTGATAGCATTAAGGTAAAAGGACAAAGGCATATAAATTTAAATTTAAAACTGAAATTTTCAAGTATATTTACACATTTTTATGATCTGTATATTACCTTGGCAATCTGAACCTTTACAATTTCACCAGCAATGTTATGAGTACAAAGATACATTAAAAACAAGAAAACTCAAAACTTTGTAATCAGTTGAGCAATGTTCACTAGAAAATCATTTTTCTCTAAGATAAACATATTGCTATATACTGTATAATAAGTATATCTAAGAAGTTAGATATGGTGGTACATTGTATTGTTCCAGCATTCAGGAAAGTTGACATGAGTTTAAGGTTATCCTGGGCCACAGAATATGTTGACTCCATCTCCAATCACTAAACCAATGCTAGAATTTAAAATGGGCTTTACTATAAGTTTACTACATTTGACCTCAATGTCCATCCCTTTTTGAAATAAATATTGGTGAAGATAAGTGTAGCTTCCTTGCAAAATATGTGTTATCTGTCTGCAGTGAACTGAAGTTGTGATACATAGTCAATGTTAAAAAGAAGTGGTAATTCCTTTCCCAACAGGGATGCCTGGTCTGGCTTCGGTGCTAGAGGATGTGCTTAATCCTGCAAAGACTTGATATTCTAGGGTGTGGGAATACCTAGGGGGTCCCATATCCTATCAGAGGAGAAGAGGAGGGGGATGGCAGGAGGAACTCTTCAGTGAGGGGGACATTGGCTGTAACATTTAGAATGTAAATAAATACATAAATAAGAGACAAATAAATAGATAAGTAAATGAAGCTGAAACTTCAGGGGAGATTGTCATTCAAGGGAAGTCAATTTCAATGAGGTAGTATTCAGCCAACACTTCAGCACAACAGTACATATGTCAGGTCCAAAAGAACCAGCATCAACTGAGGCTTAGCAATCACAGGTAATTCACCCTTGGAGGTCTGGAGTAGTAGAAAACTGACTGTGTTGTCTTAAATAATGAGAATCTAGCTACTGAAGTACTAATTAGATAATAAAATTATGCTATTTTAATCACTATGAAAGAAATTCAATCACTGTCTTTGACTCTGTTCCCACACTGAGTCTAGAGAGATTTTCTTGAGAAAGATGTCCGGTAACATTATCAAAACTTCATGACAAAATAAGACTTTTTCAATGAAGCTGCAGTGATTTTTTTCCAGAATGTTTATGACTTGGTGATTATTTTCCACTATTTTTGCATTATCTCCTATCCAAGAAAACACATTCACTATAGATATTATTTTAAGCAACCATAAATAGTGAGTAACTCTTCAAATACATCACACAGTTGTGCTCTATTCCTCTACTGTTTTGCTTAATAGATACATTTAAAAGTTTGTCATATTCACATCTCAACTTTGTGTTGTTTATTGTTTTGAAAAGAAGGGACAATATGGGTTCAACAAGACTGTTCTCACATTAACAAATAGCCAAACTAATACTGTATCATCAAGGAAGTGAAGAAATTAGTGTAATATTCAATGTTAAAAAGGTGGATTTGAAAAGATGTTAAGTTATTGAAAAATGACTACAATTTCTTAGACTTAATTAATAGACTGACTGTAGGTATTATATCAATATTGTTTTGTGTTTAAAAGAGTGGATGCACAGACTTGGTGTTTAGTCAGGACCTATATCTGGCAAACACATGTTGTGTTATTTTGATGATTCTTTTATATATATCTATTGGCATGTCTTTTTCTCTGGCATATGAAGCAATTACAGGTATGGAAAGTCACATACATACATATTAAATTCATGTCTTATAATTATCTCATAACTCAGCCAGACCAGTGAATACGAAATAATAAGTATTCTGTGAGCTTAAAACAATGATATACAAAGATCTCAAATTCCTATATAGCATCATAGAAATTCTACAATTTGAATGTCATCTATCAATTGTCATAGTCAGCTGAACTGACTTCTGAGAATCCTTTTGAAAGAGTCTTCCACAGACCTGTAAATGAGCCATATTAAAATGGGATATATTATAACATCCACACATTATCGCATCCTCAGTCCTCAGAATTCCACTACGCATTGTGTCTGTTTCATTATAGTGTCCAGAATAATCTCTCTCTCTCTCTCTCTCTCTCTCTCTCTCTCTCTCTCTCTCTCTCTCTCTCTCTCTGTTTTTGTAGAAAAAACAACAGATACTATATTTTTGAACTTTAACCGACTCTATTATATAACAGAGCCACTGATATGGAGACTCTGCAAGAAATCTGCATGACACTCCCATAGATTGCATACAACTTAATTACTTTGTGAAATGAATCTCTTGATAATGACTGTTTTATTTTGTGAATTAGAAATTTACCTATTCTTGGTGAGCAGGACAGGGATTAAGAAAAGGTATCACTATGTGGTCCTAGTGGACTGGACCTGTGTCATCTGGGCCTCTGCCCCTCTGCCCCTCTGCCCTTCTGACCCTCTGCTTGTGGTAGGACTAAAGGCATGTATTGGTATACCCAGAACATGAATATCAAAGGAGAATATGAACACAGTTCTCCACTACCACAAGTTACTAGGTCAAAATTTCTACAGTTAAGAGAAATGCAGGAGAAAGAAATTTGTAGTCCAGTGGATAAAACACTCCCTGGAAAAAGTTCCTTCTTGGCTATGGTATCTCCTCTACTAAGTAAGTATGAGTATGCTTTAGACAGCTGAAAAGTAGTTATTTTGCTGAGTGGAATTTGATATGCCACACTATAAGATTAAATATATACAGAAGAAATTCATATTCAAAGAAGAAAGATGTGGTTTTTTTTAGAATGTTGCGTGTTTGTTAATTTTGTTTTGTTTTGTAGAATAATATTGAGCTAGTAGAGAAGACACATAAGTTAACACAGTTTGTATTAAAGCCAGGCAACGGTGGTACACACCTTTAATCCCAGCACTTGGGAGGCAGAGGTAGGCAGATTTCTGAGTTTGAGGCAAGGCTAGTCTACAGAGTGAGTTCCAGGACAGCCATGGCTACGTAGAGAAACCCTGTCTCGAAAACAAAACAAAACAAAACAAAACAAAAACAAAAAGAAAGAGGAATGTTACTTTCCAAAGCATGGGAAAAATTCCTTCAACACAGCATCACACAAACTAAGGAGTTATTCAAGACCAGTTCTCAGAAGATATGCCACCCTAATTTACAGATAAATATTCAAGTTTTGTTTATATTTACTGGAAATGCATGTCAGTCCATTATAATCCCATTGAAGGACAAATCTGAGACTGATAAAAAAATAAAATAAGCCAACTGCCCATATCTGCTCTTTTACCAAGCCTGTCTTACTATTTAACTTAAAAGAAGAAACATATAACATAAATTCACACTAGTTCATCCTCAGTGGATACTAGTTATCCAATGTTATCAAAAATGTAGAGGGAAAACCAGGATTATGACAGCTAGCTCTGGAATGCATGTCTCTGCATGGGATTTGTGTTCCAGTTGAAATGCTACCAAAGATAACATTTGATAGAAAGCCTTTCGCAGTAACCCAGAAAGCATTGTCAGACTTATAACTGTCAATTTGCTCAGTTATATTTGATTATAGAATATCAAGGAAGATATGCTTAAAGGTTATGCTTTGGTTTAACACAAATTTCATCTACCACTGTTATTATTTTGTTTATTGTTAAAATGATCTATAATTGTACTCTCCAGTGATTACAATTACAACATATTTACTTACATTATTCACAGTTTTTAATACATTTGCACATTTAAATAACACATTTTTAAAAGCTGAAATGTTACCAGATTTGCAATTAAATTTGCTTAAATTAATATTCATTTACATATTATTCTTTAAATATATTTTATTCATTATCATATTACCAAGTTAATTTCTTAATTCAGTACGTATCATTTAAAGGACCATGGCAAATTTTCATAAATGCTGTCATTAGCGCCAATGTTAGTCTTGATGGAGTCAACGCTGAGCGAACTAGGAAACAATGGAAAAAAATACAGAGGCAAGTTCAGACATCATTTGCATACAGAATCAACTATTGGCTTAGAAGGGCAATTTCAGTACATTGCAATTCTTACACCATGGAAAAATGAGTAATTAGCTCTTCCTCAAAATAAAAATGGTTTCTACAGATGGATTTCTCCTTTCTTATTCACAATAGATCTGCCAGTGATACTATCACACTATCATTATGAAAATTCTTCTCATAATCACTACTATAGAAACACATACAAAATTCATCTGACCATGGGATTCATCTTTAGGCAAAATATTTAGAAACTACTTCAATTCTCTTTTGTAATATGCTTGCCATCCCCCAGAAGATATTGAGCTAATATTGTATGAAAAAAAAAAAAGCAGAACTCATTGTGGCAAAGTAAAGACCATTGTCAGCATGATTAAAATGCAGTTCTACAGAAAGTGGTGTATTATTTGAATCAGCAAACTATGGCCCATGGATGAAAACTGACCTAATTCCTGTTTTCGTTCTAGGAATTTGATTTCACAGTAATACATTCTTGTGTTTACATATCATTTCTGCTCCTTTAATGTTATTTCGTTAGAGTTGATTAGTTGTTACAAAGAATATATTACCCATAAAGCATAAAAATGCCTAAAGGTATTTGCCAACCCCTGCACTGAATTGATCACAACTTGAATATATTAATAAGAAATCAGGACTCAAAGCAGTAAAGACCACTAATATCTTAGTTGTAGTAACACTATGATGATGGTTCAATTCGTTGTTCCTATCCCTACTACTTAAGACTTTTCCGTATCATAGGTCCAAGTTTCAAAGACAGAATTGCTTCCAAGAGGAAACTAAATTGAGTCCATTCATATCTCTTCACAGCTGATATTATCTATTCATACCAATGAAGGAATAATTCACAGGGGAATTATTATAAGGTCACAGGGTAAACCCATTTCAAATTTAAAAATAAAACAAAATTGTCAAAAGTGAACAGGGAGACATACATCTACTCAACATTAACAGACAACTATCAATCATGTCATACATAAAAATACATGTGAAAATAGGAATTCAGTAGGATAATAAGAACAGGAGGCTTGCAGACTGAGATCGTTCAGGAATAATTTGTTTCACTTAAAGAACTGCATTTTCTGGATCATCTATACAGTTAAATTCCATAGGACTGTGGTTACCACAGGGTATGATGCTAAAGTGGAATAGATGGTGGAAGGGAAAACAAGTAGCATACATCAAAATGGTCCTATAATCTGATGAAGATTACAGATTGAACAGATGA